GCGTGTGTTTTCCAGATAGACAGAGAAACAGAAAGCGAGAAATCACCCCCACGGGGGATGGCCATGAAGCAATCCCTTCTCCTGCATTCTCCTCTCAATCTTGGTCACGCAGGCCGTGTGTGAGTTTAAGCCACTGGGTCCGGGACTCGAACCGCAGTCAACTACATGGGAGTCCAGTGACATAGCCAGTACGCTAACTGCTGGTTCCCCTTCCTTCTTTTAAACTGAAACCCTAAACCGGAACATCGTTTTATGATCACATCTTCACAACTGCATCACTCAAACCTGACAACTGGTATTGTCAAGGCAACATGAAAGTCTGCTGGGTCAGGGGCCTGTCTCCAGAAACCAGCCCCAGTTCCCTTTGGAGTACAAATAACCTGAAAGCACCAGGAGGTCAGGCTGCGGGCAGCAACTAGGCTGCTGAACTCCAGGGCATATGCTGCTGGGCAGGAGGTTAACTTTGGCTGTCATTTAGCGATTGTTTTTGTTGCTATTGTTTTAATTTTTGCCAGAGGGCACATGCGCTCACTAGAGACAGGAAGGCATTCACTAGAGAGAGAGACAGGAGGAGAGGGAGAAAGCACCTCTCATGGGGAACGGTCATGCTGCAATCCCTTCTCGTCCATCTGTCCCTCTTCAGGACCTTGGGCACGCATATACATGCACCTCAGCATGTTTCTCAAGCCACTGGGTCTAGGACTCGAATCTAGGATTGGGCCATGTGGGAACTGGTTGCCTTTAACCACCAGAACGTGGAACCTGCCCAATTGGTCTGTGTTTAAGGCAGTGTTTCTCATCAGACACCTGCTCCAAATAACTTGTTCCTTTGAACAGAAGCTTGGGCCAGCAGGTGGCCTGGTGGTGAAGGCGGCTGGATCCCACATGGCCGACCATGTGGTTTCAGTCTCTGACCTGGGAGCTTGAGTGACATGTTGGGTCTTAACCACCAGGATGCAGTCAGCCCAGTTGGTTTGTGTTTAAGACAGGGTATTTCTCGTCTGACACCAGCTTCAAATAACTTGTTTCTTTGAAAACAGAAGCTTAGGCCAGCAGGTGCTATGGTGGTGAACGTAGCTGAATCCCACATGGCCAACTGTGTGGCTCGAACCCAGGAGCTTGAAAAACTTGTCTGGCACATGCGCACATGGGCCTAAATCTCAAGAGAATGAAGAACGGATTACGGTGTGATCATTCCCCTTGGAGGTTGATTTCTGGCTTTCTTTCTCTCTCTCCCAGTGAGGACACATGCCCTATAGCAAATTAAAAACAGAAACAAAAATAGTCTCTCCAACTATTCCCTGCTTCACTTTTTTGTAGTGGGGTGGTAGGAGGATAGAGTAGGTTATAATCAAATGAGTAATTGCTCAAATGGAAAGCCGCAGTGATGAAAACAAATTACTTCTAACTCCGTTTGAAGCCTGTAGGCAAATAGGTTACCTAGAAACACGTTGACTTATGACTAACCTTCTTCCCATATTTACCAGGGTCAACACACATGAAACCACAGGTCATAATGTTGACAAGTTTTCCTAGAGTTACAATAGGTTTATAGAGGTTAATGTTCTCAGACTATCAGAGGCTAATGGCCCCAAGGCAGAGGCCAGGTCAGAGGGAAAAGGCGGCTGTAATTTCTTTTTGGAAAAAAAAAGAAAAAGAAAATTGGTTTTCAGTGCCAGCCTGGAGCTTTTATCAGCTGCTGAATGCATTAAAAATAAGCAGAATTGCAGAGGAAAAGGGAGGCAGTTAGCTTTGAATCTATCGTGTTGTCTCAGAACTGAAGACTGCCATTCTGTACTTATGAGGAAGCCTCCTCAGAAGAGCAATACATATTGCCTTTTTAAAAAATTTGAATTCTCTTAGGGCCAGCAGATGGCACAATGGTTATGCCACTGGACTCCCACTCAGTTGACCATGGTTTGAGTCCCAGACCCTGTGGTCTAAAACACACCAGGCATGTAAGCATGCATGCCCAAAACCCTGAGAGAAGGGATTGAGGTGTGGCCATGCCCCTGGGTGGGGGTGGTTCTCGCTTTCTGTCTCTCCAGTGTGTGCACATGCCCTGTAGCAAATATCTTTCTCAAGGAAAAAAAAATTGAATTCTCTTTAGAGGCTCTCTCCTTATCCCAAATCACGTTTCATTTCACTGGAGTTTAATATGCCATATATCAGGGGAGGAGGTAGTATCCAAAAATTAGTCACACACGCCAGTTCCTGAAAATTGTGACTTTTTTTTTTTCAGTTTCCCAAAGACCATGTGTACTTGTTGGAGAACGAGAGAGAGATGGAAATTGAGAAAGCACCTTTTTAGGGCATGGTCACACAATCCATTCGCCTCCATTTTTCCGTTCAGAATTTTAGGCACACACATACATATGTCTGACATGTTTTTCAAGTGTCTGGGTCTGGGACTCAAATCACAGGCGGCCATTTAGGATCCAGTCACCCTAACCACACCACTGCACAGTCTTCTGGTTCACTTAAAATTCAAATCTGGCTTTCTCCTCATCTTAGTAGCTTAGTGATGATAACTTTTTTTTTTTTTTTGAGATTTTTGCTACAGGGCATGCGAGAGCTCGCTGGAGAGATAGAGACAAGCAGCAAGCAATTACCCGCCAGGGGCAATGGCCACAATGCAGTCCCTT